TTCTCTACGGTGACCTGTTCTCTGAGGTGACCTGCTCTCTGAGGCGACCTGTTCTCTGAGGCGACCTGTTCTCTGAGGTGACCTGTTCTCTGAGGTGATCTGTTCTCTGAGGTGACCTGTTCTCTGAGGTGACCTGTGCTCTGAGGTGACCTGTGCTCTGAGGTGACCTATTCTCTGAGGGGACCTTTTCTCTGAGGTGACCTGTTATCTGAGGTGACCTGTTCTCTGAGGTGACCTATTCTCTGAGGTGACCTGTTCTCTGAGGTGACCTATTTTTCTGAGGCGACCTATTCTCTGAGGTGACCTGTTCTCTAAGGCGACCTATTTTCTGAGGTGACCTGTTCTCTAAGGTGACCTGTTCTCTAAGGTGACCTGTTCTCTTAGGCGACCTATTCTCTGAGGCGACCTGTGCTCTGAGGTGACCTGTTCTCTGAGGCGACCTGTTCTCTGAGGTGACCTGTTCTCTATGGTGACCTGTTCTCTGAGGTGACCTGTTCTCTGAGGTGACCTATTCTCTGAGGGGACCTTTTCTCTGAGGTGACCTATTTTTCTGAGGTGACCTGTTCTCTATGGTGACCTGTTCGCTAAGGTGACCTGTTCTCTTAGGCTGTTCTCTGAGGTGATCTGTGCTCTGAGGTGACCTGTTCTCTGAGGCGACCTGTTCGCTGAGGTGACCTGTTCTCTTAGGCCAGAGGTCTGCAACCTGCGGCTCCAGAGCCACATGTGGCTCTTTGGATCCTCTCCAGCGGCTCTTAATAGTGGCTAAAATGTATAGAAAGAGCTCAATATTGTACTATAATAGATACCAGTATTAAAAGCTTTAGTGTTTTTCATAAGACAGAAAATAATGATATGAAAAGAACCAGAAATATGTTTAAGGAGCCATTTTTCTTTGAATTAGCTTGGAAATTATGTGTTTTAATATTATTTTAAAAGCTAAAATACATAAATCGTTAATATGGCAACTAATCTAATAAAAAAAATAATAAATTGTATTTTTTTTTTTTTTGTCATGTTATGTTTTGCGGCTCCAAACAACTTTTTCTTGGTCGTACTCGAAGCAAAATGGCTCGTTGGATGTGAAAGGTTGCAGAACCCTGTCTTAGGCTGTTCTCTGAGGTGACCTGTTCTCTATGATGACCTGTTCGCTGAGGTGACCTGTTCTCTTAGGCTGTTCTCTGAGGTGATCTGTGCTCTGAGGTGACCTGTTCTCTGCGGTGACCTGTTCTCTGAGGCGACCTGATCTCTGAGGCGACCTGATCTCTGAGGCGACCTGTTCTCTGAGGTGACCTGTTCTCTGCGGTGACCTGTTCTCTGAGGTGACCT